GTAGGTGAGCGCCTAGTTGTAGATGAGTGCTTAGTTGTATACTACTATACCCACAGCAACTCACTACATAAGTCTAGTGTCCTATCACTCTATTTAATCACTTTTATATTTTTTATTATAAAACATATACTTTCTATCCCCCGCAGCCAAGCCAATCAGTACACGTTAGTTTTCTTGATTCTACTATATAACCCCTAAAACAGTCTCCGAACTGCCTGCTGCTGAAACCCTCAGGTTCTCTGCTCTGCCCACCCCATCACTCACGGATGTATAGCCAAAACCACCAACGAGCCTTATCTGACCATTAACAGGCAAATCATGTGATCAAAACAGATACGTCACCTAGAATTAAAAAAAATCCTAACCAGAAGTGGTGTATATCTGGCTCAGGAGATGCACATCATTTTTTTTTCTTGGAAGTTTCGGGGGGGGGGGGGGGGGGGGGGAGATGCGTTAACAATGGTTATATAGAGAAAATCCCCCCAAAATGTGATATTCTTCCGATATTTGTGGTAAGTCATCTTAGGGCCCACGCTGTGTTCAAGTATCTGGGTGACTTGGGCTGTCTACAGAATAGTGAGCATTCACGTGTAAACCCACATCTCTGAGCATGCAGACATCAACAGAAACACAACCAATACAAACTCAGCAAACACAAACATTAGATTTTCAACAGTGTTGTATTGTCTCAATGTAAAACAGACTCAAGAAGAGATCCAAAATGTGCAAATATAAAAATATAAAGGGAAACATGTTAGTGGAACAATGTGAACATTTGAGCACAAGTTGGTGTAGACCAAAAGCACAGCACCGGGTTGAAAACGTGTTATTGGTGACATACACAAGCACAAATATCCATCCCTGTGCAGGAATCACAATCCAGTCATGCCACAGCAGTCAACTTGGCACAACCAACATTCAAGCACAGGAATCACAATCCAGTCATGCCACAGCAGTCAACTTGGCACAACCAACATTCAAGCCCAGGAATCACAATCCAGTCATGCCACAGCAGTGAACTCGGCACAACCAACATTCAAGCACTCATAGAACAACATATTCTCAAGCAATCCCTGGTGTGGGTTCCTGTAATATCTTAGATCAAGGTGAAGAACAACCTTAAACTAGAAACAGTCCCTTCTCTTAGGTGGACAAGCAATCAGCTATTATGATTGGAGAGGAGGAATATAAGACTAGTCATCATGTTAAATTCCGTACAAGTGTACACAATGTGATATTTGTACCTGATGTGAATAGTGTACATTTTTAAAATGCCAATAACATATTTTTAAAAAAATGCTTCACTGTATGATGAAAAATAGTCACCAAATGGTCACACAAGCTGCAGCACCAAATGTTGTACGACTGGTCACACAAGTTGCAGCACCAAATGTTGTATGACTGGTCACACAAGCTGAAGCACCAAATGTTGTATGACTGGTCACACAAGTTGCAGCACCAAATGTTTGGCTGAGAGTATGGGGAGAATATGGATATTGGAACAATGGCTGTATGAACAAACATCCCAGAGTATAAGTACTAGAACAATGGCTGTATGAACAAACATCCCAGAGTATTAGTACTGGAACAATGGATGTATGAACAAACATCCCAGAGTATAAGTACTGGAACAATGGATGTATGAACAAACATCCCAGAGTATTAGTACTGGAACAATGGATGTATGAACAAACATCCCAGAGTATAAGTACTGGAACAATGGATGTATGAACAAACATCCCAGAGTATAAGTACTAGAACAATGGATGTATGAGCAAACATCCCAGAGTATAAGTACTGGAACAATGGATGTATGAACAAACATCCCAGAGTATTAGTACTGGAACAATGGATGTATGAACAAACATCCCAGAGTATAAGTACTGGAACAATGGATGTATGAACAAACATCCCAGAGTATAAGTACTGGAACAATGGATGTATAAACAAACATCCCAGAGTATAAGTACTGGAACAATGGATGTATGAACAAACATCCCAGAGTATAAGTACTGGAACAATGTATGGAATCACAGACTAGACAACTGACATTATTCACTCAACAGAAGAAAGACAAAACTATACAAATTATGAAAAATATAGAGCTAAAAAAACAAACAATGCTCAGCAATGACATGGTGAAGGAGTGTCATGGCCATACCTGTTGACTAGGCATGAAAACACACTGTAGCAAGCACAGAAGTGTGCTGTAGTTTCGGTGCTGCATCCAATGTTCTGTCTAACAGACAGGAAATACAACAGCACAAACCACAGGTGTGAACACAGTGGTCACTGGTTAAACTGTACAACAGAGAACATGGGTCAATGATTGATTGGCATCTTTCCAGACGATGGTGTTATACTGCATTATGAAGAGGCATAGGATTCACAACCAATGGCAATGGTGGCTGTGACTAGCAAGACCCGCCCATGTTAAGAAAATTCTCCAACAGTTATAGCATGAGATTTCCAGACTGTTGTTGTCGACATCTGTGTTTAGTCTGTTTCTTCTAAGGTGCTCAGCTCTCATCATTTCAGCAATCATTTCTTCCTTCATTCTCATTCCCTTCCTAACATGCCCCCCTCCCCACAACATGGTCTATAGCATTGGGTTCTCACAAGTCTACCTGTTTCAAATGGTCAGATTTCCGAACCAATACACAAATAAGGCAAGAATCCAGGCAAGAGTATGTGTCTAATTTTATACGAAAACGCCGCTGGAACTATGTCGGCCACGCCCTTAGAATGGATAAATCAAGACTTCCTTACCAAGCCCTCATTTGGACACCACAGGGGAAAAGATCTCGTGGAAGACCAAGGAAAACCCTACGTAGAACTATCATCAGGGAAGGCTCACTCATGGGCCACTCAAACATCTAAGACCTACAACAGATTGCAACGAACCGCCATGCATGGAGAGTCATGACCTCTGCCCTATGTGCCGCACTCGACACAAGAGGAAAGACTAACTAACTAAATGTCCATAGGGACCGTTCTTCAGGTGTGACCCAGCCACCTGAGCCTTCGTAGACTGAGTATTGAGAAAACTTTTGTAATGCCTCTATTACCTCAGTGTTTGTGATTTTGTCCTGCCACTTAATGCCAAATATTCTTCTTAGGCATTGCACGTGAAAGCTATTTAGCAGTCTCTCCTGGTGCAAATAGGCTGACCAAGTTTCACTGCCATAAAGCAGAGTGCTGAGAACACAAGCCTAATAGACAAGAGTTTTTGTTTTAATTGTGAGCTTTCTGTTCTCCCAAACTCTCTTCGTCAATCTGCTCATTGTTGTTGCTGCCTTACCCTATCCTGATGATGATTTCTTGGTTTAGCAATAGTTTTGTTATTCACTGTGGATCCCAGATAGGTTAAATGGTCAACTGTCTCCAGCTCTTCACCGTCAATGTAGACTGCATGTCTATGACTATACCTTGCAGCATACCCTTTGTCTTCTTTTTGCTGTCAGTCCAAATTCGCAGCATGCATCAGCAAAGGCAGATAGTAAACATGGCAGCTCCTCCTCTATGTTGGTGGGTGTGTGGGTGGGTGGTAGTTATTGCTGCATCATCTGCAGACAGCAGCTCTCTGATGAGTGTCTCACTGATAATTATTTTCCCTAATGGACCCATCCTCTGGCAGACGTGTTTTCTGTAGGCAAGAAATATCTGTCAGGTTTCTTGAGTTCAACATCAACAATAGCCTGTCTTTTTACATTACTGATGTTTTCTGTAGGCGAGAAATATCTGTCAGGTTTCTTGAGTTCAACATCAACAATAGCCTGTCTTTTTACATCACTGATGTTTTCTGTAGGCAAGAAATATCTATCAGGTTTCTTGAGTTCAACATCAACAATAGCCTGTCTTTTTACATCACTGATGTTTTCTGTAGGCGAGAAATATCTGTCAGGTTTCTTGAGTTCAACATCAACAATAGCCTGTCTTTTTACATCACTGATGTTTTCTGTAGGCGAGAAATATCTGTCAGGTTTCTTGAGTTCAACATCAACAATAGCCTGTCTTTTTACATCACTGATGTTTTCTGTAGGCGAGAAATATCTGTCAGGTTTCTTGAGTTCAACATCAACAATAGCCTGTCTTTTTACATCACTGATGTTTTCTGGTCAGTGGAAAACCCCGGACACACGGTCCTCACGTTCCAAGAGCCAGGTCGAAGCTTGAAGTTATTTTTACTGCCTGGTGCATTGGTTTTTACAGTGTGTGATTGGGATTTTAGCTAGCTTCCAGCACCCACTGAAGCATACAGGCTGTGGTGGATCAACACCTTATTGGCTGGGGGCTTCGCAGCTTGTGGTGGATCAACACCTTATTGGCTGGGAGCTTCCCAGCTTGTGGTGGATCAACACCTTATTGGCTGGGAGCTTCCCAGCTTGTGGTGGATCAACACCTTATTGGCTGGGAGCTTCCAGCTTGTGGTGGGCGATAGTTGCTTACTGACATTCGAAGATGTATCCCACCGTAAGAGGCAACCCGTGGCGCCCTCATTTACGCCAACTGACAAGCACTTATAACCCTTAACTGTAAAATATGGCCAAGGATGAAGATTATTCTCTTCATAGCACAAAGGCTAGGCAGTCTTGTAGAGACCATATATTGCCCATACATCATGATCCCTCTCTCGATCTGCCTTGTTTACTCCAAAGGAAAAGTAACACAAGCAGATTTGGAACATAGCAGGCTGCAGACACTGCGGGATCAAAAAAGCAGTACTCTGCCTGCCTGTCAGAGCTTCCTCCTAGATCAGCTGCTAGCCAAGGCTAAGGGGCTGGTCATCCCCACCATAACATAAAGTTTTCAGCTTGCATTTCCTCTCCCATAGGATAAGGCTATTGTCCTCTCCAATGCGCTCCTTCACCCAAGGCTGTTGGTGCAATATGGAATTTTAGGTTTGAAGATAGATGGTACCGGCTACTGTTATACAGTAGCGTAGTCATATCTGACTAAGATACTGTACAGTATAAAAACTTTCTAACATTATTGTGCAGTTAAAACTTGTGGATGATATGGTCTGATATCTTCAAAGTAAACAAGTAATTATATGCAGAATATAGTGAGACCAGATGGAAGTCCCAGCGAGACCCAAAGAAAAAGTCTGGGAGAACATCCATCAACAGACGAAGGTCGACGTACAGACTGACAAACATATTCTCAGGAATGTTGCACAGTGCCAGAACCAGCATACTGATAATGTCATCACATGTCGACTGAAAGTCCGATCCAAACAAGACAGAGATGCTGTCATTGAGGCCCTCAATGGCTTTGGTGATATAGCGAATCTTCTCACTGAAACATTCCACATTCAGGCACACTCCAACAAACTTCATGAATGGAGATAAAACTGAACCCAGCTTGTCTTCAACCTTTCTGGGCCCGAATGTGTATTCCCACATCTCGTCTGCATTTTCATTTAAACTGTCACTGGAAAGTGTTGAACGAAGGCTGCTGGAGAAGGAGCCTGAGGCTTGGTAGAAACCTTCATCAATGGAGTGCGTGACTGAGCCGGATGACTCAGTTCTGACTGCCTGGTCACGGTGTTGACTAGCTTCCATTTCAATGACGTTGCAGCGACCAACACCAAAACTGAAGTCATCAAAGTCATGGGTGACATTAACTGCTGTTGTGTACTTTGATGGCCGTGGGATAGGGATGGGCGAGGCCCTGCCTCTGAGAACACTTGGGCCAAAAAACAAAGTGAGAAGTCTATCACCTTTGAGTATTTCTAGCACAGACAGGTTGCGTAGTTCAGCATAGGCCAGTCGTATGCCAGGGGTTAAACCAATGGTGTAGAGGTTCCACAACTGGCTGTAGAGTTCCTGTTACAACAGAAGATTACATGTCAGCATAAGGCACATTTCTAGTCAACAGTGAACACATATATTTGTGTGTATGTGCACAATCTAAGGTCAACACTTGATATGGGTTTATTTGAGTGTGTGCAGTGATTTAGAAAAAAGGGGGTGGGTAAAAGAGGGAGGATGTGTGTGACAAAAAGACAATAATACAAATGAATGAATAAATCAAGATTGGACACGCTTGCACTCAGTTTTGTTCCTCAGTGGCCATTAAAGAGTCGCAATGCTAACAGTACCAGTTCACACCTGCTGCATTATCCACCTAATTCCAGAAAGCATTCACTAATCCCACTTGATCCCACAGAGGAATGACAGTGGCCAGTCTATCAGCTTGCTAATAACTAGGGCTGTACCGAATAGGGATTTTCAATATTCGGCCGAATATGAACAGCGGGACCAATTATTCAGCTGAATACGAATAGTGTATAATTATTATCAGGTACCTTGCCGACTGGCCTTGCCACAATCTGCGATCTCCTGCAGCATGTGTAAGTTCGTGTGCTGACACGCCTCCATGCCATGCAACAAGACTGTCAAGAATCTTCTCTCGTTGTCTTCCTCTATCTCTCCTTCCACAGATCTTTCCAGTGGTCACCACATGTTCCGTTTTCCCTCTTCTCATAACATGGCTGAAAAAAAATGACTGTCTCCTTCTGATATCTGTGATTAGTTGTCTTCGGGCTCCCGCCTCTTTAAAAACCTCTTGGTTGCTTTTTTTGGCTGTCCAAGTTATTTTAAGCATTGTTCTGTAAAACCACATCTGTGAGGCCTCAAGAAATTGTTTAGCCTGCCTACCGATTGTCCAGGACTCACAGCCATATGTTAAAACTGGATGCTGTACCACGCAACCGGGTCGCAGTTGCCCCCGACTTGGGCAACAGCAACATTTGTGTTAATGAGAGTTATTTCAGTCTATCAAAGTGTATGCAGAAAGAGGTGTAAGGTAACCACTATTCGTATTCGGCCCGACCGCAAGTATTCAGCCGAATACTGAATAGTTATAAGGTCCACTATTCGGCCCAGAAGCGAATATTCGGTACAGCCCTACTAATTAGCCTGCAGATCCTGGATGGAAAATACATGATCTGATCCTGATCTGAGTCTTATCAAGTGATGGCAGCCACCCTGGCACAATCATTGTCTTTGTTAAAATATAACATACACATATGTGGAAGGAAAGGGGGAGGGGTGACAGAAAATGTTTGTTTCACCACACGTACCATATGACCATGCTATGCTACTGTATGTGTGTGTGTGTACAATTCACACTATTTCATTGGAAAAAGTGAATACCGCCTTCTGTGAAAACATAATACAGGTGCACACAGAATGTTAAAGAAGATGTGGGCACATAATGATAACTAGAAAATGTGTGCTCAGAATTTAACCAAAAATGGTGCACAGAATGTTAACTAGAAGATGGTGCACATAATATTAACAGAAGATGTGTGTATACAGAATGTTAAAAGATGGTGTATGTATATAGAATGTTAAAAAAAGATATGTGTGTATAGAATGTTAACAGAAGATATGTGTATATAAAGAATGTTAACAGAAGATATGTGTGCATAGAATGTTAACAAAAGATATGTGTGTATATAGAATGTTAACAAAAGATATGTGTGTATATAGAATGTTAACAGAAGATATGTGTGTATATAGAATGTTAACAGAAGATATGTGTGTATATAGAATGTTAACAGAAGATATGTGTGTATACAGAATGTTAACAGAAGGTATGTGTGTAGAATGTAACAAGAAAATGGTGCACATAAAATTAACTAGAAGATGGTGCACAGAATGGTAACTAGATATGTAAAATGTTACCAGCAAACATATTCAGAATGTTAACTTTACCTGAGAGAAGAAGCGGTCGTAGGACTTCCAGAGAATCTCCTGCTGCTCCTTCAAGGTCAGGTCATCAGACTCTGAAGTCTCCTGCCCTAGCAGGTCAATGACCTCTGTTAAATGAGCCTGTATCTGACCTTTCAACTCTTCAACAGCATCCATGAACCCACTCAAGGTCATCTGTCGTCCTGGTGACTGCTGCACTTCCACGGAAGATTCTGTCTCAGTAAACACATCGTTGGAACTGATAGTGCCCCTATAACCAGATACCATTATATAGTCTTCAGGTCGATCATCTCTTGGGGCACAGCACACCCTTTCTGTCTGAGACAACTGGATCCCACAAATATCTGGTTGGTGGAAACTACTCTTCCATTGATCTTTGTCCTCTTGGAGAAACATGGCTTCCTGTTTATGACCTGCCTGAATAACCAATTTGGGCTGCCTCATGGGTACTTCAGATAAGGACAAACCAAACTGGCAGTTGACATCATCATAGGATGTTTTGTCAAGCTCGTCACATGGTTGGACATCAACCATAGAGGGCTGTATGGACTGAGTTGGTGTCCCAGATGATTGGATGGACTCCTGACTGAGGCCTGAGTCACAAGACATCCCTGTCATGTCAGCATCACAAATATCTGGTTGGTGAAAAACATTTGTCCACCACTTACTGCTCTTAGAAAGATAAATGGCTTCCCGTTTGTAACCTGCCTGAGAAACCAGTTTGGGCTGTCTCATGGTCACTTCAGACAAGGACAAACTAAACTGGCAACTTAGATCATCACACAAAGTTTCTTGATGCTGGTCACATGGTTGGACATCAACCACATGGGGCTGAATGGACTGGGTTTGTGCTCTAGAGGAATGGATGGACTGGGTTTGTGTCCAAGATGAATGAATGGATTCTTGTGCTATTTTAGCTGGCAGGAAGTCTTTGAGAATATGTACAGTCTGTGAACTGAGTTTCTGACAGCCATATTCATGGCACATGTAGGCTACAGATTTCTTGTTTTCCAAAGTGGTTGCTACTTGTGCTGCTAGTGGCAGCCAACAGTTTGATCTGTCTGTCTGGCTGTCATCAACAGAAAAACTGGCCAACTTATCTGGCTCAGACTGCAAAGAACTGGCTGAGGGCTGGTTGCTGTCGGCAAGGTTGGACAGTGCGTACAGGACAGCCTCACGAGCTGCACAGATGCTGACTTTACCGTCACCCAGTTCCTGCATGCTGCTCTCCTGCAGCTCCAGCTGTTTGACAACTTCTGTGAACATATTGTGTACACAGCTTTTTGTAACTTTACATTTGTTTTTTCTTTTGGACAGATCTCGTCTGAAAGCAACATTTTTGATTGTCTCTCGCACTTGAATACGTTGATCAACATCTGCAAATATCTGGTCTCTTCTAGCCTTCAGGTCTGCAAGTTTTTGGCCATGGCCCGGATGGTCTCTGACCCAGTTAACCATGTTCTGTATAGCAGACAGATCAGTGTTCAAGGCAGCAACATTACACTCCACCACTTTCAAGACAGCTGTCAAGAAATCTCGGTCGCAGGTTCTCAAGTAATGCTCACTGTCGAAGTTCTCCTCACACAACAACTTGTTCAACATTTTATCCAAACAAATCTTGACATTTTCTTTGACAATAGCTTTGGCCTTAATGTCTTCTTCTATTTTGACCAAACGTTCCTCAATCTGGCATTTCACTTGTAACAAACTGGCAATATCATCTCGTGTAAAATGTATTGAAGGTAGAATGTAGATGTGCAACAATCTGGCAATGGTTTTGTGAAACTCATCAACTGACATAAACTTTCTCCTAAATTTCTGTGTGGTCCCAAAGCACTTCAACATCATTTCTTTCAGGGAGGCATCAAAATCATAAACACTGTTGTCCTGAAACAGGGGTCTGGCACAGCATGGTATAAAGTCTTGTGAGCCTGACACTGGTGCCGGTGATGCTCGAAGCTGAACATCCTGGATATCAGCAGTACATCCTGGAGTCCAGTAGATCAACCTGTGGTGATATTTGAAAACACACATCATTAATAAATTATTATACAACATATAAAAGAATCAAATGTTTACTAAAAAAACCCAATGAACACTAGGTTTTCCAAATCTAACTGCAAGTTCAACAGGATATTTTTGATTAAAATTACTATTTCACTGAGGATCACTAATGTAGAGCTTTGGGAGAGAGAACTAAGCAAGCTTCAGTGGATCAAGAGGTAAAGAAAACACATTCGCTTTGATAGGACACACACTGAGAAAACTGGAGAACAGTATAGCTAGAATGTCTTTGCATTGGAACCCACAGGGGCACAGGATTAAAGGAAGACAAAAAATACAAGGAGAAGGGAGCTGGAGAATGAAGTTAGAAAGATGGGAGGACATGAAGAGAGCTCCATGTAATGGCGAATGATAGAACGACTTGGCGGGAGTTGGTTGAGGGCCTATGCTCCACTGGGGGCTAGAAGGCAGAAGACTATTTTACTGTACTCACAAATTATTCTCATATTAAAGGTATGATCTCTAGTTCCTCCGCCCTGTCTGAACCCCCCCCCCCCCCCCCCCCCCCATCCCGTGTTTCATTTAGTTCATACTCTAATTCCCCTTTTAAATGCTCTACATGATAATCCTTAAAAGGATTTTGCTAACATAACTTAGTGTGACAGTATGACAGCTGGTGCACAATTTCAAATTGTTCTCCACCATATTTTTAGGCCAAATGGCACTGCACCAGATCTTTAAGTGTAGTGCATGGTAGATTCAGACGCTGGCTGATCTTGAATTGTTAGGTTGGAGGCTTTTCTCGGGTATCTCATCTCACAGGAAGTGATTTTGCAAATGACGTGGGCTTTAGATAATGTCCATGTCTGGCACCTCAAGGTTGGAATGAATACGCTGTTTTATAATCTGTCTCTCTGCACTCATAGTTATGTTTTGATGTCTTAATAATGGTTACAACTCGTATATAACTATTTTAAGTGCACTTGCTTTCTGACATATGGTTTTTATTACTCTGTCAATTCTGTGACCCCTTTTATTTATCATTTATTACACAGAAGACATAAGTTGTTGGTGTAAGTGTAAGGCCTTGGGAAGTATCTTTACCTTCAATGGTAAAATAGAGAGATCGAAGCAAGAATCCATAACAAGCCAACAATGTCGCATACCAGCTTGCCCCAATTTTAAAAACACCTGCTGTCCCAGCTGAGATAAAAAGACAAATTATAAATACAATCTTTATACCGACATTAGGTTATCAGTGTCAGACTTGGACATAAACAAAAGAACACGAGAGAAGACTAACCACCTGTGAAATGAGATGTTTGAGAATGGCTGCGAATAAAACCAGAAGAGATCGAGTGAGAAACGATGTGATTACAAGAACTATTGGAACCATACCCATCGTAAAATTTATTGAGAAGCAAAGAATGAAATGGTTTGGTCACCTAATGAGAATGGAACCAACGATGCCAGCATCAAGAGCATACAACATGAAAATCGAAACAAAAAGAGGCAGGGGAAGACCAAGAAGAAGATGGATTGAAGGAGTCACAGACAACTTGAGACTTCATAACATCACGGCATATGAAGCGACTGAGCGCGCCCTGGCTCGGTTGTCGATCATCTGATCATCTGATAGACTGTGACGCCTAGCGGCACAAGCAGATTTTGACAAAAGAAGAAAGAAGAAGGTGTGAGGATGAGGATAATTGACACAGTAAACAGACAATTACCTCCGACTGCAGTCTATGTAAAGAGCCGTAACGGCCAAAGTCTTGAACCACAGCGCTGACTGCTGTACCAAGGGAGAGCTATCCTTAGCCGCGGAATCATAGGGTCGGGCCCCCGACACAAGGGGCAGACAGGTCGCATCCACACTGACACCATCGACCACTTCCACTCGACCATCGAGTCTAATGTGGACCTTCATTTGTGAGTCCTGCTACAGAATCGGAACATGTGCGATTAACTGCCGCAATCTGTCACTGACAAGTTGTAAACTTGTTGATACTAATAGTATTCATAGTATGAATCATACTAGTTAGTGAAGTTTGTCCCTGTCCACTACTATCTATCGTATTATTTATAAATAATATTATCACACTACAGTTACATTATTATTATTGTTATAACATGTATTCTGTATTTAAAAATGCTGGCCCTAAGTCTCAGTAAAGATAATATCCACAGTTCATAAGTGCCACAAGGCTGCTCAAATATATAACCGTTCGCGTGGTGGTGAGAGAAACACGTCTGAGAGATCCCACCATCCCTACAACATCTATATACAGCAAACACATCACACTTCCTGGTCCACCCCGCCCCGGCCTCGCCTCCAACCGACATCCGGGGGATTCCCCTTCCCATTGTTGGTAAACACAGACGGGAAAATTTGGATCTCGGTCTCAGCAACGAATTTAACTTTACAGGTGTCCTTTAATCTAGAAAACACGACGTTATTGTTAGCCACAAACAGACGCAAAAATAAGCCGTTAATGTCAGTATTTTAATCATAAAAAATAGAGAGATAAGATGAAAATATATTTTGTTTTCTGATAACTTCAACCTTAATCTATATTTATTCTTCGTCCTCCTGACTTAACCTGATGTTCGTTTCTGTTTAATGGCCCAGAACTATTGCCAGATGGCCATAAGGGGCTCAAAGTGCAGGTCAAATGTCGCAGATGTTGGTACATAATTGGTGGTTTTTTTACATGACTGATGGTATTTACTGTAATAACAGCATGATGGTGGTTATTCTCAGACAGTACTTACATTATACTGACATAGTTAAGTCAAGAATTGACATCACAGCACTCGGGGTATTACCATGCGTGCTCCGTCCTCATCTTCAGCAACCAGCGTAGAGTTCCATACTGATGGTACCGGTCACAATCTGATTATAGGTCCGCCTCGCCTTTCCTCTGAGGGTAGCAAGTCGACCAAACCCTTTGGTTACACTCAGGCGCCCCATTCTCTCCAGGCCATAATAATCTTGTTTCTCTACAGATTCCGATATTTGTTCCCAAAGGGCCTTGACAACATCTGCCCTGCCATGCATCAGTTCACCACCCAGTGGTGCAGATCCAGCCAATCTGTCTGCCGGTTCATTACCCACCACTCGGGTATGACCATGAAAAAAGATCCAAAGTATGCTCACTAGCCGTGATCTTTCCATTGAAGCTTGCCACTCTGCTCGAAGCATCACTGTCTTCACCTTTCTCAGCATACTTTCAGAGTCGACATGTGTATGCATTTTGTTCTCTAGCCACCGGAGAGCTGCAGGTACCGCCTCCACCTCCATTCTCATGCTTGACGTTGTGTTGTCGTATGCTAGGCTGTCTTGCACTAAAGATTTTCCATTGATTTTCGCTAAGAACCCCAAGGCACTTCTCTTTCCTCTCCCCACCGAACCAACTGTATAGATATACTGACATAATAATAGTTTTCCAAGTCACTTTAAATGTACACGGTATTATTACTATCATTGTTTGAAAGTACACATAAATATCCACTATTGAAATACCAAAAAAAAAAAAAAAAGCACACAAACTATTGTATATCCCAATGAATGGGTTGAACAAGTTATTTGTTAAAGGAATACTACCAGTAATAACATAGTGATGTTTACTGTAGTACTAGAATAGTGATCATCATCATCCTCAATTTTCACTTTTTTAGTGCCGTGGGGAGGGACAGTTTGAGATCCATTGCTTGATGGGTAGGAATGACCATTGTCATTCCGTGTCTATGTAGAAGCTCCTTAATGTCATCAGCCCATCATCTTCTGTGGTGACCTCTTGCTTCTCCTACGATCTTTTCCCGATTAGCTCATGCGCTTGAAGATGTTTTGACTGCATTCTAACGAGATTATAAAACATTTCAACTTTCCTTTCTCAGTAAACCTGAATCATTGTGTTGTTCCTACTGTCTGTCTGAAGTATTCTTTCTCACTTTATCTCAAGGGTTAGGCTGACGACTTATTTCAGGCAGTTTTAATATTGCATAGGTTAGCCTTTGATAATATCCACGTCTGGTATTGTAGCACAGTGTTGTTATTAAAAATGTAATTTTAAATGTTTTTTTGGGCGGGGGGGGGTGGGGGGGGGGAGGGGGGACTCGTATTTATGTTTTAAAGTCTTAACGGTATCAGTGGCTATATTCATGCACTCGCTCGCTGGGATCTTGTTTCTATTTCCCAATCTGTTTTTCCATTCTCCAAGAATATACTTCCTAATTTCTTTTATTTTTTAACATGCTTCATAGAAGTGCTTCACTTTTAGTCGTATTTATTGTCGTGTTATATCTTCTGCATGTTGAACGTAACCTGTTCAAATCTGGTAATCTTAGTTTCAGCTTCATAGTAAATGGGTCGCCCCATAGTTGCTCCGCTCCTGTGCCAACCCAAAACACATAAAATGTTTATCACAGTTCAAATGAAATCCACAGCTCACAGTGTTACACCATGCACTCAACTCAGAAGCTGGGCTGCTAAACTATATCCTTTCATTCTACAAATGGAGCAAACATGCAAGGGCTACGAAAAGTGGCCGTGCCTAGCGTCCATTTTGACATACTCTCTAAAAAAATTATTGATCTACAAGCATCATTATATTCAATGGCTTTCTCGCAAACGTATCGTGCTGTAAATAATGCATCCTTGAAACATTTTCAAGCATTAATACTACTAAATTGGAGAGGGAAGGGTAACAGAAGAGCCTTTGCATCGTACGGATGTATAGCACCCTCAAATCACATGCTTAGTTATTAGAAAAGAGAGTTAGCTACATAGCTGAAGAACATTTAAATACATCAAAGCTTCGTTTCTGTAATAAATGAACTTCGCATGTAAAACGTCTAGCTCCACGTGTTTTTTTTCTGCGTGTTCATTGCATGTAAACTCCGACAGAACGTTCTGGTTGTTAGTCCTCTTCTGGGCTTTGGGTTTGTCCCCAGCACGAAAGTTTCACGTGCGTCACCATTTTACATATCTGCTTATTTGTGTTCTTTAATCAGTGCTACCAATAGGATTTTTTTTGGGAAAAACTAAGCTCAACAAAAGCCCAAGTCTTAGTGCACTTGTATTCATGGCGAGGCGCAGACGCCGTCTGGAGGTGACAGGTTGAATTCCCGGTACGGTAACTATAGCTTTCGAATATTATGTGTTCTTCTATCTATCTACTTCTCTCTACGAGTGCCGACCAATACACTTTCTGTTACTTGATTAATTCAAGAAATACATCAGCTAAAAACATTAAAAAAAAAAAAACCAGATTGTTAAAAAGCACAAATTTTGTAGTTACGAAACTGAACATTTTTCAACTTTCCTATATTAAAAAAAAAAAAAACACCATTTTATATATTAAAAAAAAAAACCCCACATTTCAAAATTTGAACACAATAAGTATAAGTTAAATAAAAGCCCAGATCTTGGAGTAAAAACCCATTATTGGCAGCCCTATCTATAATTAGTCGCATTGTACGACATGCTTGTTCGTGCGGTAGTTGGTCTATTATTTACCCCCACCCAAGATTAGGCCCAAGAACGCACAAAAGGAATTCCAGTTTTTCGACCACGATCAGAAACCTGGCACAAACATGGCGGACATGTAGGAGGTTGCTTGAAAGCTGCGGATTTGACACCGGTAAAGTTTCGTGTGATTCTTCCTGCGATATGTTCTAGTCTAACCACTAGCTGACACTGGCATTTTCGTTGCATCTTTAATTTGTGATTGCATTCTTGGTTTCCTTAGTCCACTGTGAGCTTGTCTACTTTCCTGCAGTTTCCAGGCTTTATTAATATTTATATATGAATGTTGTTTGATTGACTGATTGAAAATAAAATCCTCACCTGCACAGTCGTGGCGACAGCACTATCACTAGCCACGCGATCGTAAACCCTCAGGCAGATAGACCCCCCCTCCCCTTTTTTTCCCCCTGCCTACACATAACACAGCGAAAGTGGTATAATGAAGGCAGTAGTTGGCAGTTTTTGGCAGACTGATTAACTATTAACTCACATATTTTGGTGAGATTGATGATTAGACAGTAAGCTCCTGACTAAACTGACTTGTCAGAATTAGAATTTGCTGATCACCAGGTCACAGACAGTCAGATTTGAATTGTTATTGTAAAAGAAATGGTGAGGAAATGGAGAAAGCTTCCACAAATCTGGGCTTGTTTTAGAGAATAAGCAGTTTTAACAACTTCTCAGTATTCGCTGTTACCCATTTGAGAACCAAAAAAAAAAAAAAAAAAATTAATGAACAACTCGTCACATTATGATAAATTTGTAGACTAAGGCTTTTGACACTGCTGACAGGCAGTGTTTAGACATTGATGAGGCTCTGTGGGATCCCAGAGGCAAAGGTTCCCTTGTTACTGTAGAAATAGCAGCCCTGAACTCGACTTATCAGAGGCCAGTTTTCTCATATCCTGTTTGTGAGCTCTCATGCTAAATAAATTCAAGATAGTTGGGAAATCACAATGGTCAAGTCTAGTCTAAACATTCTGCACGAAAAACAAATAATGAGAAAAAATTAAGCAAATGGAAACACCACGTCACAAGGTGCGACTGTACGCCTGAGGGGGGAGGGGGGAATGCAGACAGATACAGCAGCAAGAATTATAAATTTAAGAAGGGTTTAAGGGCAGATGAAGAGGAAATCAAACACAAGTTGTTTATGGCTTTGTAGCTGTGAGTTATTCTGGATATGAATGGGGAACTGGCCAAGACTACAAGAGCCAGGTGCAGATCTTGACAAGCAAGAGTTCAGAATCTGGAAGTTGTGCAGTCATGAATACAATCTTCACCTGACTTTCATGCAACTTACCTTGTAGTGGATTCTGGCAGACACGAGATTTATGTGTGTACCCGATAAAGATGTGATATAATTTGTTGTCATGCAGCTGCTGTGTGGCAGAATCGCT